AAAGGGGTGGGTGGGGTAATTGTGGGGGTGAGAGTCCAACAGGTTTTAGGGCTGCTGAGGTTGAGAAACACTGCCTTAGACTGTGACCACCTCCTTAAAGAAAGTGCAGCTTTGACACAGTAGCCACAGCACCCCAGAAACATACGCATTTGAGTTAAGGAGGCACCGACAGGATGAGGCATCCTGCATTGGAGCAGTTATGCCCTCAGCACCTCCTAGACTTCAAAACCTATTTTCCTGGGATGGTGCAACTATTGTGTGAGCCCAGGAAAAGACACCATTTCTTCAAGGAGGTACTGAAAGGGGCAATGTCAGCATCACACCTGTTCCAAAGCATCTTTTGAACTTCAGATTCAAAATGGAGTCAGCCCTACTTGCAAACTGTCTTAAGATGCCTTCAGCCTTTGGCTAATTCACTAATTTCTCTCTTGTTCTTTCTGTCTTGATTTGTTCCAAACAGGAAATGAATATTTCTTCAGATAAACCAGCTTTCTTCTCTGGTGGCTTGAGTAGAATTGGGATAGATAATGCCTCTCTAATCTCTACTGCAGTCTTCTCCTATGTAAAGATCTCTAAAGCCTCCTTGAAGGTCTTCAACACTTTTTCAGGCATTCCTGCTCTCAATTTCCACCCACTCAAGTTCAATTTCTTGAATGTAGCTTTTTAGCAAAGTTGGTGTTAAAAGTTGTATGAATTTTGGTCACTTTTCCCCAAACACACACAATTTTGTTTTACCAATTTTCCCTAACTGAAGGTTTTTCTCCCCAAATTATTTTCCTGAATGGTGACTAATTTGGGGTCATGCATTGGTTCAAAAATCCAGAGCCAAAATGATACTTTTGGGCTTATTGAACACAGCATCCATTGCAACTCCTTTAAAGCAGCTATGGCTTTTCCCTGGGATCATGTGGTTCCCCTTAGTAGCTGATTGAAAATCCCAGAAGAAGACCTATTGGATTTCAGGAATTCTGATAATCTTTACTTCTACAATCCCACATGCAAAACAAAAGGATGTTTTTGTTTTTTTCCTAATATTTGAGCAGACATTTTCTCCATTCTTAGCTCCTGTCATCCAAGATGCTCAGGACGGCTGCTGTAAAGAGGACAACCAAGTGGTGGCCTCCAGCTGTGAACTGCTCTTCCCCACCCCCCACCCCACATCTCTTGCTCCAGGATCAGGAGCCCTGCGAAGACTGAAAAGGGTTGTCCACCCTAATCTGGTTGATGTCCTTCTGCTCATGAACCCAGACGATTTGGGACATACCTGATAGTAATGGAAAATGGAGTCGGCCATTGAATCTTTCCCAGGCACGGTGTTTGTCCACAGCTTTTTCATGAAAAACACTTGGTAGGTGAGAGAAGGTACAAGCCCTGTGAAGAAAAATCATGGCAACATCCAAAGTTGGGTTCACTGTGCATTGCATGACTACCCATGATCGGTCTTAGGCAGTGTTTCTCAACCTGGGCAAGTTTCAGATACATGGACTTCAACTCCCAGAATTCCCCAGCCAGCATGGGAAGTCACTTCTTTACATATTTCTTTTCTTTTTCCTCACTATATTCTTCTTCTTCTTTCCTTCTCTTTCTCCATTTTTTCCTCTTTCTTTTCTGCACCTTCTACTTTTCCTTTTTATTCTCTCTTTTTTTTTTCATTTGCATTCGTTTTTACTATTGCCATTATAATCTTTAATAAAATTACTAGTTAAAAAAATGAGCATTTGATCATGCGTTCCCTTTCACACCTCTATCAAGCTGCTGTCCTACCAGGCGCCCATCTCCTAGCACTGAAAAAAAGAGAGAGAGGAAAAAACTGGCACGGAGGCAAAACATGGAGGCGTTTACCATCTTTTGCTGGTCTTGCTTTCTTGATCCAGTCGGTTAGGTGCCTGACGAAGTCAAAGAAGAAATCTCCTTCAGGGACGCTGATGACCTGGAGGAATGTAGTTCATTAAAGAGTGTTTCTCAACCTCGGCAACTT